TGTCTTAGAAAGAATGCACCTCCCAAGCAGGGAAAGAAAAGTTCTTTTTGGTGAAAGGCTCCAATTCCCAAATCAATGCAAAAAGAGAGCCTGAATCATATTTAGCTGTAGAAATATGTATGCTACAGTTTCAATAGGATTAACAGTGCAATCTTTTTGTGAAGCTCTAAATGTTATGACCACTGCTTGTCTAGTTATCTCTCAATTCATTTATTTTTAAGTCTAATAATTATCTGTTCAATCAGTATTGCAGCTTTCATGCCAGAGAATCTCAAACACTTCACAAACTTCAGCTGCTCTTTCGTCTTGACAAATGCAGTCTTCTTAGTGTGGAGCATGAGAGTTGTGTATCACCCCTCTGCAGTGCTTTTCTGCAAGGACTGAATTGTGCATCTGCTGGTCCTGTGCCCTCAGCACGCGGAGGGACTCCTCCATTCTTGGCTTGGAAAGGGGAGCCCCCCTTGCTGAATCTGCAGCACTGCTTCAGTTCTGGTTACAGGTGCTTGGAAATTTCCTGTTCCGTTACTAACTAGGCACAACCCTAATTAACTTATGTGATGGTTGCAAGGTGGTGTCAGTACGGACTTAAAAGATGAAGGGAACATCACACTGAAATGAAACCGTATAAGGGGGCTGCCTCTAGCTGTTATGTGTTGTGTATAAAGCTGGAGGACATCTTCTTAGCCTCATGCTTATCTGCGTGTTTTAATTTTTCGTTACTGCAAAACAGCTATAAAGCACCTCCCCTTTTTTTTTTCCTAATGTTTTACTCCTGTTTTGACTTGATGTGAATATGAGGAAACTTGATGTAGGAAAAGAGTTCTTGAGGTAAAGAATACGCATCTGAGGACATATGTATGCAGTTCATATATCAGGGATTAGCAATAATTTTGTGTACTGCACTTTGAAAGTTCAGCTTATCTATTGCAAATACAGTTTGCACTTGTTCAGTTTTATGAGTACAAAGTCTGTAAAATGATGTTCTGCTATTTAGGCAACAATCTATCAAAAAGCCAAGAAATAATGTATTATGATAGTGATTTTTCACAGTACATTATGGGTTTAAATTGAGACACTATAAGTAGTGTAAACTCAGCTCTCATGGCTCAGATACCAACCTAAGTCATATTTTATAGCTATTATTAGAACTCATACAATGGTAGCCTCTGTGAGTTTGCGTCCTCTCATAAATTGCGTTTATTTTTTTACCCAGACTAATCTTTCTCTTTTTACAGAATGTCAGCACACAATGCAGAGCCTATTAATATGGCAGTATTATTTCCAGAAGTAAGACAAATAAGTCTCTATCTCCAGCAATTAAAATTGTGCAGCTATGATTTAAGCAGAATACTTTTCAAATAATTCAAGTCTGGTAAAACTACGCTATTCTATTCCTGTCCAGGCTTTCATATTTTATTCAAATAATTGTCAAACCTCAAACTACATTCCATCACAACTTCTGCAAAGAAGATAAAATTAAAAGAGTAGTACAGAAAAAGAACATTTATGTCCCTTGTAGATGAACAGCCATCTTCTTGCTGTATTCTTAGAAAACAGGAGTATCAAACAGAAGAGTTATTTTTCCATTTAAAGTATGGAGCAATTGCTGTCTGCTTTTAAGAAGAGATAGTTCTGCCCATTGCAAAGCAATGAGACTGACAGTCTGTGTAGCTCTCAGCACAGGTTTTTGGGAGCAGACCGCCCGGAGAAGAGGCCAGAGAGGACTGTACAGGCTCTGGGTGTGGAAAACAGAGGTGGCTTTGGGTACTGGTGAGACGTAGGTGGCTGTTCCCTGAGGGATAGCCCTGTGTGAATGTCTTTCTGCTACAGGTGGTGTGAGGTGTTTGTGGTGGCTTCTCCACCAGGTGAAGCACAAGATAGGCAGTGGAGTTTCTCTATTAGATGGCTCATCCTCATAGCACAGAGCATTAAACTGACACAATGAGGCATAATTTGTACTGAGCCAGAGTGACTGAACCCCACATGCCACCGTTAACATTCATTAGAGATTACTGTTGCATTTGAGCTTTTGTAAATAAGTCAATTTGTAAGTGTGTCTTTCTAACGAGTGTACCAGTAAGCACTGCACAGACAGAAGCACTATTTTGGGTTTCCAAATACATATGTATGAAAGTTAATATTCTGGTGCAGTGTGATTAGAAAATAAAATTATATCGTCGTGACTTTGCTTGCCGTGGTTAACTTGTCTGTTTGGACATTTGTGGCTAGCGTGGATTTTCCTGGAATTCAGAACAGCTTCCTGGCAATATATCCAGGCTAAATAACAATATAAATGGTTCTCTGGAACTAAACCAGCGTTATTAGTTATATTCAAATGTTTTTAGCACACTACCGTCAGCCTCTGGTTAAGCTATCTCTGTGGGTGTTCAGCTTTATATGCTATAAATTTTCAAACGGGATTCTGTCTATAGAAAAATATCTGTAATATGTTTTAGTTTACTCTTGCAACTGTTGTCATTGAACTCAGCTGGGAGCTTTCTAAGCTTTCTATCACTTTCTTGGGGATCTGTACATGGGAGTCAGGTAGCATAGCAAAGAGTAGTCCTAAGCAGATTCAGGCCTGGTTGTGATACCCTTTGTCCAAATGAGAAAGATTTCTATGATTGGGAGCATCTGAGTGCCAGGCTTGCAGTGTCGCACCATATTGCCTAACAATACTAAATACAGACCTATTTGAAATAGGGCTTCTGCAAATCCATTCACATTTCAAGATGAGGCAGCTATCTTTGCAGATGTTGCTGGGCTCTACCTGGCTGTGCAAGCTGAGACTGTCGTTTTTGACATGCTTCGTAAGTAAATTAAATTTTTTTTAACAAAATCTATATTCTGTGTATAGTACCATCCCTGTGAAGTTTATCCTATAAGCTCAGCACTTACAGAATGCTTTATTTTAAATCCTTAAATTTGAAAGTGCTAGGAGGGAGAAATCAAAGGATATATCTAAAGATAAAAATATATGTGTATGTGTAGTATATACAATTTACATATATATGATATGTAATATATCAATAAGCAAAAAGATTAGTAACATAATAATCAATATGCAAAGAGAAAAGAAAATACCACTAAATAACAGGCTGTAAAAAAGAAGGCCATTTCCCCATTAACAAACTATATCTCATCAAAATGTCCTTCTCCATATAAGCATATACAAGAACCACAAGAGCTATGTTTTTCCAAAGACTTTACTCTTGAAATTTATTTACATCTCCAGTAACAGATCATGAAATTATTGGCACAGTCCCAAGTATGAAAGAAACTAATTTTCTTCCTGAGGAGACTAATTTTCCTGCATAGTTCCCTCTTGGCTGTCTGTCACACTTTCTCTTCCTACAAATTCTGCAGTGATGCTAGCTCACCCCTGTCATTTTGAGACATGCCAGATAAGAAGTCTGATGGCAGACGTGGCTGAAGGTGGTGGTGGAAGACAGGCAGGCGTTTGAAGAAGACCCACAGAGTTTAATCTGGGGATAGAAAAGCTTTAAAAATAAAATGCATAATCTCCAGTTGATGACTGGAATGTAATATATGTTTATTATAATTTACCAAAGTGTTTGTTGTACTGTCTTCAGAATATGAATACAGTGATTATGTATTTTACATGGAAACGTCAAGTAAATTCCAGAGTTTAATATGCCCAATATAAAATAATCAATGAAATGCCAACATTCATCTTTATACTCCTCCGAGTATTAGATAAGTTTGTTGAGAATAATTTCCTTTAAATAATAGGATTAGCTGTAGGCTGTATTTTAATAATGAATCTTTCTAAAATCCAACAGAGAGTTTCAGTATTACTTTGGAATTTTCATATCCTCTCTTAAAAATGATTTTTTGTGTTACTCATACTAGTTTAAAAAAGCATTAAAGCAAATCATCTCATACTGATACTGAAATGTTAAATGCATGACATCTTTATTAATCATCTACTAAGGTGCAACATACTACATTTGTTTTAAAAGTATTGTCTGTTCTAGAAACACTACCAATTCATAAGAGTAAAGTTAAACATCAATTCTTCTTTAATCAATACTTTTTTAAGGTTTTTTTGCTTTTTTTGTTTTTTTTTGAAATTTATGATAAGTGTGGCTTATGGAAAAAAATACATGTGGTGGACATACTTTACCTCTTTGTGCTATGGTCCTGGGGTGGTACCCTTAAGGGAGAGGAAGGTTGTTCTTCTCCTGAGAGGGGGAAGGAAACTTTGAGAAGGATATGGCAATTCTAGTTAATATTCTTTTACATTTAAAAACTTCTCAGTCACCTCAGGGAATTTGCTAGGAGAAGCGTGCCTAGGCAGACGTATGTCAGAGCCCTGGTTGACGTAGGCTTCTGTCACGGTTAATGTTCTGCCTGTCCTGGTGACTGTTCAAGCTTGGTTTGCTGGTTTCTTTGCTTATGCCCCACTAGAGCTGCATGGGTCTTGAGAAGGAAACTGAAGGAGGAGAACTGGCGATCAGCTCAGGTTAGGCCTTATATGCCAGAACGAAAGGAGTCATAGAGATATTTGTAGGTAAATGGGCATGGTATTACTGAATTGATGGGGACGATTGAGAGGGTATGAATGAGGATATAATTTCAGGTATTCTGAATTCTCTTTGGACGATTTCCAAAAATAATCAGAAATGAAGAATTCAACCACATATTCAAGCTTTTTTATTTATAATGACCTTGATTTTGTTGATAGGTCTTGGAGAGAGAATCACGAACAATTTATCCAGCTACTTTCATGTGAATACTTTTTCATCTCATCAGTAGAGAAAAGACTTAATAAAGCAGACATTCATGAGATCTGGTTTAAAGAAGTCAGTTCTAGTGATTGAAAGGTCAGTTTGGATCTTCTGTGAATCGTGAAAGAGAAATTAGTCTGGTGTGCACCAAACCACAGCCAAAGAGGTGCACAACACTTGAGTTATTCTCAGGTGTCCACAGAGGCATATTATATTAGTAATATACTGTTCCAGGTAGCACCTGAATAGATGTTTGCGGTGGGATTCTGCAATAGTCCTACTGAAGCCAGTGAAAGCCAGTTCAGGCACACCATTTACCCTTGCCAAATACCTGTGTTTGATGATTTACAGGTGGAAGTGGAAGCAAGACAGATCGACACAGGTAGGATGACAGAAGAGGAGAGGTAGTTTACACACACTAACACTATGAGCTTGTCAGTTTTCACAAAGTAGAGATCCTAAGTAATTTACCTTTATTTTTCTGAGGCACATAGGTCATGTACAGATGCAAAGCTGCACGTAAGAGACTTGCTTACTCATAGACTTTTCTAACCAGGAGTATTTATAGAACTCAGGGAACCTGAAATCTTTTCAATTCTAATCCCAGTAAATAATATCTCCAAGGCAAATTATTCATGACTGAGATGCAATTGATTATACTGTTCAAAAGCAAAAAACCTACCATATCAGGTTTTGTGAAGTCACTTCACTTCACTGAAAGGTTGTGATATAAGATGAGAAAATAGTAATGCATGAACATTGTCCAAAATGTCTGTACAGAAATTAAAACTATAAAAATTTAGATAAGGCTAAGAAATAAAATATTTAACGCTAACATTGTGAGGACAACAAGAGAGATGTTAACGTTTCGCAAGTAGTTCACTGAAAAATAAAATTCAAGAGTGTACTCCGTCTGCAGCATCTGTGGGTTACCAAGTGGAAAGTTACGAAAAACCACTTAAAATATTTAGGGCTAGAGAAAATTGTAAACCTTCTTACATTTATCTCTGTCATTTTCTTGGAAATGACAATTATCCTCACCAGTTTTGAATCTTTTAACGAGCTACAAAATATTTAATATCCTTTTGTATGTGTGTCTTTTATTGTGTTTCTTTTCCAACTGGGCTTTGCTACTAGTTTTTGAGTTGGGAAAGAAACTTGACAGAAATGTATTAAAACACTATAAAGAGATATCTTTGCTCGTTAAATTCATGCAAAAAATGCAAACAGAGCAATTTTTAGTTCAACGAAGTGTATCTGATGGGTTTGCCATTATGATTGGTAGCTGTGCCTAAAACAGACATACATTATGAAAGAGATCATTACTGGAAGTATTTAATTCATGTCCTGTATTTCCCAGCTAGCAAAGCAATGGGATTCATTGAGTGAAATGGAACTGAAACACAGCACAGGCCTCAAGTCAGGAGAAAAACCCACCCTGCATGGCTGCGAGCCATCGAATGCTCTGTAGAGTCAGGCTCCTCCTATGGCAGCAGGCAAGGAACATTTTTAACTGCAGTCTTTAGCTTGGGTTTCCAAAGCCTGGCACGCAGTAGCTCTTCCTTTTGCTCTCACCTGAGGTATGTGGGATGCGGCCCTAGCAAAGCAACTTTTGAGCTCGTCCTCCCCATGAGCTGCCCCGTTGGGCGTCGCAGGGCTCATGGTCACGCCGGCGTCTGCCCCAGCAGCATGATGGCTCTCTCTGCAGCGTTGCTTCTGCACCCAGCCTTTCTGAGGCTGCTGTGGCAGGTGAACAACAGAAACCACCGCTTTGTGCTCATGGCAGGATTTATTCAACATCTCAGTGGTTTTAAATGTACTGTGGAAACGGAAAATAACAGGAAGAATTGTTGAATTGTACAGAGACCTAGCCAGCAGACACCCATCTGAAGGGGCTGGATGGGAGCACTAAAGAGTGGAATATTGCTCCTTTCCTGCAAAACCAGTGACTGCTTCTCTCTCATTGCTCCTCTTTCTGTGTACTTATTGAAAAGGTCACAGTGTTTCTTTTTTCCTTTCAATGAATAGCAACTGGTAAGGTTTTCAATCTCTTATTTCAGCCTTTGGAAGAACATCCTCTCATTATTATTCCTCTTCTTCTCATGTTATTCTTCGTTTTTATCATACATAACTTGAGATCTAATTCACTGCTGTTAAATCAAGGCTGTTTTACATTCTTGTGAATCAGTGTAGTTTTCTGCAAAAAGTCTTAGGGCCCCATACTAGTACATGACAGATGTTAGATCTTGTACTTCAAGAGGATCAGGCTGCTCCAAAGCTGAAGTCCCAGCACTGTGAAGATCTGGAAAGCACATCCGGAGAAAAAGTAGGCTTTTGACAACAACAAAGCTTTTTAGGGGAGTAAAGCAGAGGAATCATGCCTGGGGTAAGGGGCCTTTGCATCTGCTTGTCAGCACTGTAGGGCTACCTGTGTTGTGGTTTCAACTTTCCAGGATGAAAAATTCATTGTTATACCAGACTCAGAAAAAGAGTATCATAAGCCTAAAGAAATGGAAATCAGAACGCAGAATGACTTTCAAAGAGGAAGAATTGCCAGTTGTACATAGGGTGTCCGTGGTTTGTCTGACTGCTCCTTAAAATAGACTTTGGTCATCTTGCAGTATATCTCAGCTATCAAGAAAAATTTTGATTGTTTAACTTGCGCTAGGAAGCTGGGAATTTTTTCTCCCAAGTGTACCATGTGTTAAGTCCCACTGCTGGTACAAACTTTTGCTTTTGAATCCATATGTAGCAAATCGAAGGCTGTAGGAACCTTCTTTTGCAAATAATACATTTGTGAAGTCTGGTTTGGAGTATGCATTTTGCCAAAAATATCAGCTGACTCTTTTCATGGAGTGTTAAGGACGTTTTAGTGCATTTGTTACCACATGGTGAAGTAAATGGCTGTGTTTGAAGAAAAAGGGTGAAACTAAAAACCATTCTTTGAAGGTCAGAAGTGTGTGTAGGTTGCTAAACTTACTTATGTCATAAGTTGAGTGATTCAGGTTTATGTCAGTGGGCAGGCTACAGCTGTTGTTCTCGAGCTGGCATTTTCTCAGGCTGCCAGAAAGCATCTGCATCACTGGGCATGTTCCGTATATTAGAGCAAGAAGAGCAAGAGCTGCAGGACCTTTACTCTCTGCAGCCACTAAGGAAGGACAGCTAATTTCAATCAGGAGCAGAGTGTCTCTCTGCAGCCTCCTCTAGCCCTTGCCTGCGCTGAAATCTTGTAAAAAATTAGCAGGAGTAATGGTCTGGTCTGCATAGGGAGAAACGGGGTTCGCGGTACCAAAGTGATGGACTGAGTAGCTCGGCTTCGATCCTGGAATAAGAGAGATTTGTATGGAAGTTGTGAGCATCTGGGAGCCTTGCACACAGGTATTTTTTTGTGTCTGTTATGGATATAGGCTTTTTTTTTTTTTTGATTATGAAAGTCTGCTGCTTTTTGCCCTTAGGTAAAGATGACAGAATTTATTTGTAAGCTTTTTATAAACCTGGAAAAAAAGGTTTTGAAGTTACTGACAAAAAGCAGCAATAATATGATTATCAACTTGTAATGGGCAGATAAATAGGAGTAGCTGTAAGAAAAAATAGATTTTAATTTATTACCATTTGTGGTGTGCAGTGACTTTCACTATAATAGAAATAATTAGGTGGGAATGTTACTTGTTCCTTTTTGCAGTAAAATCTTTATATAGTTCAAGTCAAAAGACATTTGGCAGAGGTTCAAGAGCAAATGCCATTTGAAAAAATGATTTAAGGTTGAACATATGAAGCAACAAGTTAGGAATCTATCAGATTACAATTTTTCATCTTGGGAATATATGTCAGAACTTAGTGTAATAATGATTTTCTATACTTTTCTTACGCCAGATGGAAATTCAGCAAAGGAAGCAATGCAGTTATTTATAGACTTTTTCCCATAATTATAAACATGATGCATACTGCAGGTTAAAAGAAACGGAGGGGAACTATAAGTGGAAATGTTTACTAATGTTGGATTTGATTTATATAACTACCTATAATAATGGAAGATGCTGCAGCCAGTCACTAGCTGAACAATGCTTAAAGTTGTTTTATCCTAAAGTTATGGTAAAATTGGCAAAGACAAAACTCAATTCTTTTTTCCACATATGTTTGCAGTATTATGCTGAGATGTTATATTACTAATGACTGTTTTCAATGGTAGAAATAAAATATATGCCCTCGTTTGCTACTTTATGGTTTTCAGGTGTGAGCACCATTGCAAATAAATATGACAAAAGATTGTGTGTTATTTGTATGATCATTAAGTACAGCTGATAACTATTTTGGCTGCATTTTATTCTGGTTACATCTGGAGTGAAAGTGTTGAACATTTCAAACAGAGACATTCTGAATCAAGAATTTTGTCTTTAATAAACTTGTGGGAAATTGGTACAAGGTCACAGGGAGTGTAATACCTAACATTGTATTATATAGATACATATGTAGGTAGTTATGTAATAGTGATAACTTGTTACCAGTTTGCACAGAAGAATCTAACACTATAATCCTATATACATTTTTCTGAACTCTACCGACTTAGCCAGTCAGTTATCACTAGTCTTTTTTAACCTGTAGAATAATTATCAATGCTAAACAATATTACACCCACTGCATGCCTTAACTAGAAAGCTTTACACTTTTGTCATCTCTCTTGACAGCAACATGAAGGAAAATGAACCACTGAGACTTTACATGTGATTCATTGCTTCTATCAAAGCAATATATTTTTAATGTTTTCATTTGTCTTTTACTTGACAGGAGGCATTGTTGATAAGGACCTTCGCCACTACCTCAATTTACGGTTCCAGAAAGGTTCGGTAGACCACGAGCTCCAGCAGATCATAAGAGACAATCTCTACCTCCGGACAGTGCCATGTGAGTAGGGGGGCGATGAACAAATCTATTTTCTTAGTGGCAACAGACTGTCCAAATTAATGTTACTGAGGCCACTCACAAAGCATGAAGAGCTGTGTTGCAGATGAAGCAGTCTTCTCCTAGACAAAGTAGTGACTTGGTTTATGTCTTCCACATTATTGTTGGGGAGCTAAGCTGTCTAATTCTGAATTAATTTCTGAAACTGCGTGGTGTTTTCGAAGTTGTAGCTCTGATCAACTGTGGATGTAGAAGAGTAATTTTTTTTCTGCAGTTCTGCAGAAAGCACAGATTAAAAAAGAAAAGACAGTTTTCTGGGATAGTTAAATTGATGTCCAACAGAGAGAGTTTGATCTGCTTCGGATTTCACAGTATTATACCTTACCGAATAATACTGAGGGGTTTGGAATGCAATAGGGCAGCAGAGGAACCATGTTAGGACATTTTTGTTGTCTAGGTGCAGCAGGCGTTGCCATGGATGTTTATATTGTCTTGTGCGTATGTTAGTTCTCTTGTTGTCATATAAGTCGATTGTGTCTAGATAGAAAATGTTCTGAAACATCCAAAAGCATTTTTGTAGATATTGAAATTACTCACTTACACAGTAGTCATGAAATGGAGCACAGTAACATAAGCAATGTCAGAACAGCAGGGCCATGCCTTTCAGAACACATCTGTTTTGCCGATGGACAATAAGTCATTCAAAATGCAATGAAATTCCATTATTCCTTCCTCATAAAATAATTGCTTGTTGGATGGAAAATGGCGCTTCTGGTTTTGGTGAAAAGAGTGCACCTTTGGACTTGCAGGCTTGACACTGGAATGATAGGCAGAGGAAGATATGCTGAATAAGTGAGCCCGCTATTTATATGGTAATAGGTGGATGTTCTTTGAAAGCTGTGTTGTTGTCAATGCTCCTGTACAATTTTTTTCTTTCATTACACTAAGAACGGAGGTTTGCAGCAGCAAAAAAGAGGTTCAGACATTTCCCTCTTCTTTGGGAAGCTGAAGGTAAATAAGCATAATAGTTTTATTTTGGGAGTTCCATTTATCCTAGATTAGCAGTCAAGGTGGAATAAAATTAGGGAATGTTTATCTGTGTGTAGAAAATCAGAAACATTATTTTTATGTGAGATTTATGATGAATTAGGTTTGTCGGAAGGTGCTGAGAAACATTAGAGCTGAAGTACAAGTGCAAGGAGAAAGATGTTTTGAGATTAAATCTAAGCTTAGTGGACTTTCAGAAGGACCCACTTCATAGGAAATCTAGGAGGCCATTAGCATAGGATTATATTTATAACAACTCTGCCACACACTTGTTAATGCTGAAGACCCAGATGTAAAAAAAAAAAAAGGCAGCAGTATCGCAACTAGCGTGAAATGCTACCACCTTGCGCTAGATGTGCTTCCTAATGTTAACTTTCCCAGGAGTGAGAAGATCTACAAGCAAGATAAATTTCAGAAGTCAGCTGATGCTTAGGGGTTTAGGAAGGGCAGCCAGTCACCAAGACATGGAACCGTTTCATGCCCTTGGTGCACACCTGTAGCAAATAGCGTGTGTGCAATATGGACATGATATGGCTCTAAGTTTTTTTTTTTTTTTAAATAAAGGCAATAAAGTGTTCTTATTTGGAAAGTGAAGTATGTTACTAGCAGGAGCAAATTTATCATTCAAGAAGGAGCACTCAGCCACAAAGACCACAATTCAGAACCTATAAACACTTAATATTACCTTTCCCTTCTGCCGTGATTTCTTCTTTTTACCCGTCTTCTGTGTCTTCTTACACAGTTAGATTCTTGGGTCATTATTGTATTACATTTTAGGAACTTTAGCTAAGTAAGAGCCGGGTTTTCAAAAACGGTTTAGTGATATGCTGGACAACTGCTGAATTGCTAAGTGAGCAGGCATATTCTTGGATATAATGGAAGACTATTTCCATGCATGGTTTAGTGGTGATGGAAAAAATAATGCCTGAGTGGAATATTTTCTTCAAAATTTTCTTGAAAATGCTATGAAAACGGCCATTCTAAAATGTGGGTATTTTAAAATAAAGAGATTGACAAATGCAGTCAGGGTTATAGTTGGTTTGCTAAAGTTTCCATACTCGACTAGAGAAAAAGGACACCATCACACAGACTGCAGGCCAGATTTCCACTCTTGTCAAAAATAAGAATAATCTTTTTAATGCAGTTTTATTCTATCTATTTCCTGCATTCATGTTTAGGAGGGAAAATTTTCCTCAACTATTTCCTTATTTGCATGTAACTTAACTAATTTTTGAATAATGAACTTACTTACTTTTTAAGGGTGCTGTTACTCGTTTGGGCGGTCGTTTTTTTTGAAGTGCTGTACCAGGGCTAAGAGTAATGGTTAGCAAAACAAACAGTGTAGTATGTGACTTGCAGGGAGATTTCACTAGTATGCAGCAGCAGTATTTAACTGAATATACCAGTGCCCACTAGTTCTCTTAATAATAACTATAGACTAATCACCTGCTTATTACAAACCTTGCAACGGATACCAACACAGCAAAAGAAGCATTCTGTTTAGTCAAATTATTGCACAGAAAAAAAAGGCAGAGAAAGCCAACTGCAGGCAACGTAGACTTTATTTCCAATGAAAAGGTTGTAACCTGAAGAGAAAAGGTCTGAAAAATACATGGCAGCCTTTTCCCTTCACAAACACACCTATAATCTTTCCTCGGTTATAGAGATGTAATTGCCACTGAAGCCAAGAGAACTTTTATAAGAGAGTCCTTGACCTTGAATTTTCATTCTTCTTCGCTTTTTGTTCAGACTGCTGCCGCTGACCTTAGCAATGCAAGGGACACCGTCACTTGTTTCTCAGCAATAGGCCTTCCTAGTCAGGCTGAACCTCTGCATGCCAGGCTAAGCCATCTGCCACTCACATCTCACTGATACGAGTGAGTGTTCTCTGTGAAGCTAGGAAGCACAGGACCAAATCCGTACCCTGTTTTAAATCAGGGTAAGTCAAATGTAGTTAGTAGAGGTAAGGCAGTATGTACTGGGTGAGAATTTGAATTCTACGTTATATTTTGCCCTGCGTGCAGAAAAGGATGGATGGGCCAGGAGTGCATGAGATGGGGATAATGGATGAATTCTGCCCTCTCAAACTGTCATCCATGTGGAGGGGATGAAGAAGACAATTTGAATTGGTTTTGTGTGCCTTGCATTTCTCTATCTTTAATATAGCCGTGCTGCTTTCTACCAAATTAGAAATGATCATTTAACCCTCAGTCAAATGCTGCCTACTCAAAGGGGCTGCAGTTCTCAGTACCATATGAAATTGATTTTCATTGCGTTGTCAACAGGAATTATACGCCTATATCCCAGGGCAGAACGTGCGACTGTATTTGCAAGGTTTTTGCAGAGATGCAGCAGGCAGTTAGCTCTGCCCCCAGAGCCGTGTGACAGTAGTAATGAAACTGATACACAAACAAGAAAATGAAGAAAAAGTTCTGTTAATTTAAAGCTGAGTTAGAAAAGCAATAAAGCTTTCAGCAGGCAAGGTCAGGAGATTGAAACTTTTTTAAAGATACAGTATTGCAAATAATAGAAAATGCACTCTTCAGAAGGAAGAACTGACAGTGGTCTGTTGTCAGGGCACAGCTCTTATCTTAATGCAAGCTGGAAGACGGAACTTCAGGTGAGGAAATCCAAAAGCAATGCAGATAAGAGGCACGTTCAGGAACTCGGAGGAAAGCAAAAAATGATAAAAGGCAGTTCTGGAGGAACTGGAGGAAAGGTTCACAGGTCGCCATGTTCAAAAGACCTGATTGAAGTTTGGGTCGTGCATTTTCATCTCCTTTTTCTATTGTATAGGTTTTCAGCATATTTTTCCTACCCTAAATTTATTCGTAAGTTAGGAGCAGGGAGCATTGAGGAGCACTGACCATTGAGGTGTGCTACAGTACAGAAAATTACCCAAGGTAAGAAGTGATACTTGTTAAACTGAGATAAGCGGTATCAGGCACTCTCCCTTTCTATCTGGGTCCAGGGATCTGGAGAAAAGCCTGAAAACACATCTAATACTGTAAATGCTGTAGACGGACAACAATTTAGTCATGCTGCACATTATGCTTGACAGTGCTGTCAGCAAACTGCAGTGGCCACGTGGGCAAGCAGCTTTCCCGTATTCCTTGCTGCAAGAAGGCATGTCTTTAGCTTAGTGTCATCACGAGAAAAAGCTTTATGGAGACTACATGGTAGGAGAGCAGTTTTGGTAGTGACAGCGGTGGTCAGTCCTGTCTCCTTTGGTATGTCCTTCCAAGCAGTTGCAAATTCCACCTCTGTAAGAGCTTGCAGAGTAGCGGAGCTCTGACTGAAAACAGAGTCTGTATGTTTGCCTCCCGGACAGGGAGTATGAAATGAGAGTGGAGGACATCCTGATTAAGCAGCGCTGTGAATAGTCAAAACACTGACAAGCTTATTCATATAAGTCATCTATTAATTTGAAGAGATTCCTCTTTATATCCTCTGGGATATAACCTCAGATAGATAGATAGATAATTGGGGTTCCTCACGTGAATAACTCTCCCACTGCACTGATTTACACCAATGGAGGATACAGCCCAGAAGTTGGGCTGTGTGTCAGAAGTGAGAGTGTAAATAATAAAAAAAAGGCAATGCTGGTGAGAGGAAGTTTCCTTCCTAGTGTTTGTATTTAGAAAAACAGTAATGATGAAAGAATTGAGAGGATAGGGTGTACGGTGCAGGCTTATTGGGCTGGATACTGAAGTGTTACTGTTAACTCAGAGGTCTTAGAGGAAGAACAGTTTATTTAAGACATTTGTCAGAAGAACAGGAAAAAAGGTTCAGTTTGTGACTCAGCCACATGCTATATCTGAGTGACCACAGGCAAGTAATACAGCCATTTTATGCTGCAGTTCCCCACATACAAAACAGTGATGATAATTCCTTCCTTTGCTCAGTTTGCCTACTGGCACTATGATTGCTTGGCATTAGATGAATGTAGGTAGCGC